CCCCCGGCTCGGGTCGAGCTCCCATGCTTTGTAGTGCTGGGGGTGACCATTTATCTGCGCCCGCGCATCTCGGTCCGGGAGGCGGTCAGGCACGGCCGCGCTCCTCAGGAGCACCATTTCCTCCGCGCGGCTTTATCAGCCCATCTGGTGTGCGCTCAGCCCGAACTCCCCCTGATTAATTGTGCTCTCCCGCCACGGGCTGCCTTTGATGCCGGGCTGGCCGAAAGGAGCCCTGGGCACACAGGAAATATCCCTGGCAGGGAGATAGCGCCCAGTCATCCCCGCTGCCCGGCCGGGCGCTGCGATCAGCCTACCTTGACGCAGCCCTGCCCGGGGTGGTGGGGGCTCCCTCGGTTTTCTCCCTCCATTACGCTTTTGCAGTTTAATTAAAGCAGGAGGAGGCCTCGCGGCTCAGGAGGGGGGAGATGGGGCCGGGCCCCCGCGGCTGCTGCGGCGAACGGGTGCAAAATGCCGAAGGGGCACGCACCCACCCCGTTAGCCCCCCGTACGTGACAGACAAGCACGGGCTGCTCCTGCAAGCTCCGGGGGCAGGATCTGGCCCCTGTCCCCCTACACAGGGCCAGAGCGGGCGCTGGGGTTGTGTCCCCCCCTGGCACAGCCTCCCAGCCCCTGGGTTCTCTTTTCCTACCAACTGTTAGACGTTCAAGCTAAAGCGGGAAAAATTTATCCTTGAACATTGGGTTTTTTCTCAGCGGCCACCCGTTTTGTTAGCAAGGGGCAACTGAAGTGCTGCAGAGGCAGCACGGGGGCCCGGTAAATGCTGCTCACCCCCCAGATGGCTCAAATACCTAAATATTTTGGTGATATGGGCTTCTGTTGCTGACTGGGGCTAACAGGGGCTGTCCCTTGGCTCTTCCACACTTTGCCTTGGCATAAGGCAAGCACAGCTGGGCATGAGGATGCCCGGCAGTGACGGGCTCCTCCAAGGTGGCCAGAAAAGGCAGGAGGGTCACTTGGATCCCCAGGGGAGTTGCAGTTTTCGGAGCGCAGTTTGCTGGGCGAGGGCTGGGGGCTGCTGGTGGGAGTGCACAGGTAAACCCAGGGGGTGCACAGCCCACACGAAACCCCAAATCTGGGGGGCCGCGCTGCTGCTCCCTGAGCAACCCCCTCTTTGCAAGAGGAGAGGCATCCTCGTGCAAAGCAAAGCTGCCGCCATTCCCCAGCGGCTCTTCTGCACCCCGCAGCCCCCACGCCAGCCCCTGCAAACCCGCTCCGTGGCGGAGCCCGGCTGCTGCCGGTCCTGCCAGTGGGGATGGAGGCTGGGGGGATGTCCCCAGTCCCCCCTCAGGTGTCCCCTCGCAGCCCGATGCTGCAGATCGCTTATCAGATGATGCTGTTTAGACCTGGAAGGGGCAAATACCTCCTGGTTCCTTTGACAACGCTTGAGGCCAAGCCACCATTTTTATTACGTTAGCAAACACCTGATAGCCATGGCCCGTCCCTAATGACATGTCACGGGAGGCTCCTGGCGTCTCCTTATCTCCACGTTACGATGTTTGCTGTGCGCTCCAGCCCACAAGGTCACCCGCAGCTCCCGGCCCCCCACCCCACCGGTGACTAGGGGGACCCCAGGCGGGGGACCCACCCGAAGGGATGGAGAAGGGGCTTCTGCGGTGGGACTGATGCGGCGCTGGGGGCTGCTCAGCTCCTTCCCCGGAGGTGACAGCAACGCCGGGGGACAGCAATGAACATGGTCGCTGGCCCCACTCCCACCCGAATGCAAGTTCCTCATGCCTGGCTGCTCTTCACAGCGCTGCTGAGCTGCGTGGCACAATCTCTGCAACAGCCTGGGCACAAACAGGCCCTTTTTTTATTATTATTATTATTTTTGGGAGGGGGTGGCAATATCTGGCTCAGAAAGTATTTTCCCACTGCCTCCCCCTCGGGGGTGCTGGGGAGGGCTCGGGGCCAAACAGGGCTTGTGCGGCACCACCAAGGTCCCAGGGTGGTGTGGGAGGTGATGCCTCCAAATGCTTTGCAGTGCCCCCAGAGAGCCCCCCACGGTGCTGCCTTCACCTCCTGCCTGCCTGCCGGTCACTGTGCTGTTCTCTCCCTCCCCAGTGTCCCCTGCAAGCCTGGTGATGCTCCACACCTCGCTGCTTTTGCACATAGCAACGGGATCTTATTTTCCACAACATCCCGCCGGTGACCCGCGCGCCGAGCCCGGGGAGTCGCCAGAGCGAAGCCCAGCGCCGCAGCGAGGAGCCCATCAACCCGAAACGGAGCCGGAGGCTCGAGACTCCCCGCGGCCCTTCCGCGCCCTGCTGGGGACAAGCTCGGATTTGCGGGGTGCCCACCTGGGACCGTGCCCCTCCTTCCCTCCGCGCAGTATTTCCAAGACGTGTCTTGGGGATTTTTTTTTTCTTAAGTATTTGCCTTCCAAGAGGCCGTTGGCTCTCCCGAGGAACTAGGAACAAGCTGTACTGGGAACTGGCAGAAGGGGAAGATGGATAATATTTAAGTTATACTCCTCCACCCGACGGACTGAGAGGGACTTGGGTCTGTTACTTGGTGTTTGGAAGGAGGAATTGCATGTGCTGTTGAACTGAGCCAATTAAACTGTAAATATAGGTACAGTCTGCTCCATCCTCACCCTTCCCTGCTCCTATACATAGAGATTTATATAAAAGAAGTAAATTTTGTCCAATGGTTGTAAACTACTGTAATCAAGTGCAATTCCCCCATCTGTATATATTGTTCCCGAATCTCTTCTCTTTCTCCCCCCTTTTTTTTTTTTTTTTGGTAAAGGTCAGAGCTGAGCATGGTTTTGGTTTTGTATTTCTCTTCTTCATTTAAATGAGTTAATTTACGAGGAAAGAGCTGGGCCTATGCAAGGACACCGGTCTGGCAGCACTGGTCTCTGCTCTGCGAGAGGACAGCCGCACGCGTGTCCTCTGCACGGTGACATCCCACATGAAGAAAGGGCACAGGGCGAGCTGAGCGGAGCCCCAGCAGGACCTGGACGATCCATGTGGGGACAGCTGCCGCTACAGAGATCTCAAGGGACTCTTCTGCTTTTGGGGACTCTGAGATGGACTGTTGTGGGGTGGGGAAGCGCTCGGCAGCCCGGTCGACACATCCAGACCGCTGGGAAGCGTTCGGCGGCGGCAGTTTTCAGGTGAGCCTGCAGCATTTGCTGCTACAAAGGTGAATGAGGCTGCAAGAAATTCTGGTGGGATCTTCCTCAAATGGAGTTCAGAGACTGTGTCCCTCTTCTCCCCTCCTTGGGGCGCGGAAGGGACTGGGTGCCCAGTTACTGCCTCCTCTCCTGCCCAGTAAACGGCCAGTACAAGTGGCTTATTTTCCGCCGTTAGCAGGTTGATGATGAGCCTTGTTGGCTCCACCCTTATCAATAAACACGGTGCTCTCGTCCTCATGGTGTCACCTCTGAGCTGCAGCTGGACAGGCGGGCGCTGGGCTGTGATGTGAACACGCCGGTCCACGGTCCCCGCCGGCTGCCTGCCTTGTCTTGCCTGTCAGCAGCTCTTGGAGGAAAAGCTTCTCAGCAAGATCTCCAGCTTGTGAATGAGCCCGCCTCCGCGGTGAGGGCACATCCCAGCTGGGCACCCACCGAGGACATGGGGCTCCACGCCCTCCAGAGCCCTGAAGGGGTTTAGGTGCCCAAGTCCTACCTCCCAAAGCTGTGGAAGCTGTAAAAGGCATCGTCTCCCCTCCCATGAGACAGACACAAGCTCCTCCATACCTGCTCCCCTTCGGAAATGGGTCTCATGCTCCTCAGTTGTGTACATTTTTTCTTAAACTTTGCAGCGTGCGCCAACTGCTGAGAGTGATTTAGAGAGGTGGAGAGCATCCGTGGATGGATGACCACTGCTAAAATGAAAAACACTGGATGCTTTCTTTGGGGCAAGAAAGGCCCTTTTGCTCTGTGTTTGTACAATGTCTAGCGCAGTGGGACCCTAACCCTTGCTGGGACTAATAGGAGTTGCCCTACGGTAAATAAGTCATCATGAATTGGAGACCAATATTCAGAATGACATTTAATTTAATGTATACCATAATTAAATACCATTTCTTCTGACTCATTGGTGCCGTGTGGTCTGTAAATTCCCCAGTCATCATCTGCTGTGGTTTGGCAGACATCGGTCCGGCAGGCAGCGGCAGGCAGGGACGCAGGCTGGCAGCAGTGACATGTCCCTCCTGCTGTCCCTTGCAATGCTGATCTAGGTTTCTACCTGCCTGAACGTGGTGAGTCAAGTATTTCATATGAAGCCCCAGGTATCAGCCAAAAATAGCAAGAGGCTCTAGGAGGTTGGGAGACCCGTGTCTGCACCTTCCTAATGATGCACTAATGATGTCGCCCTTCGTCCAGCACAGTTTATTCCTCATCCTCTGCTAACTTTAGCAGCCGAGTGTTAAGCAAACCAATTAGGAGCTGAGTGCCAGACAAAGCCAAACCCCATCCATTTTGGATACTGAGCCCATGGGTCAGTAAAGCACGAGGGGGAGGCGGGAGGGTGTGCTGTGGTCGCTGTAAAGCTTCTGAAGACCTTTGATTGTGAAGAGCTGACATAGCTGCATGACTCAGAGCACATCAGTAGGAAAGGGTGGGCCTTCTGAAGCAGCAGTGCAGGGCTTTGGTTTTAATCACCTTCAAAAATGTCTGGTTTTGGTTTGGAACCCTTTTTTTTTTTCCATGAGTTAGGTGTGGGCTGCTGTGGGAAAGGCTTTCAGAGCAGCAATTTGGTGCTCATCTTTGTAGCCAGAGCAGGACACCCTGATTAAAAACCTTCCCACGGAGTTTCTTTGTTTCTGTGATTTTTAGCTACCCCAGACAAAAGCTGGAAGCGCAAAGCTGGAAGAGGACAGGAGGCATGAAGACTTCTTGGTCCCTTTCGTGCAGACTCGGAAGTGATGCTCTCTTTTAGCAAAATTTGGAGAGAAAAGATGCAGGTTTTAATCTGAGATCCCCTTTGCACCTCCCTGCTCAGCAAGTCCTTTTCAACACACCGAGCGCCAGGCTGAGCCCTTTTCAAATTCTGCTCCTAAATATCGCATTCCCAGCGGTCAGGGTGGAAATGACTTGGATTCTTCTACTTACGCCAGCTGTGTTTTGCTCCATGAGTGGCTAAGCTTTCCCCAGCTGATGCGTGCCCAGCACCAGGTTGAATTGGTCCTGCAGGGGACCGGGCAATCCAGTGGGAAGGAGCAGGGAGAAAGAAGCACTATATAACCTGCTGCATCTGAGCTGATGCTCCAAGGGGAGCAGTAACTTTTGGGGCTTGATTTCTGCACCAGCTTTAGGATAGACACAGACTGAGAGGTGTGGCGTTTGGGGTGTGAAAACTACGTGTAAAGCACTGTTTGGCGAGTGGCCTGGTATTATCGCTGCTCTCCAGGAAGCCCCACGGAAAAGGTAAGTGAGAACTTTGGGGAAAGGAGACTGAGATACAATCCCACCAGAGAGGGACCTGGAGAGGGAAGGGGGGGAGCGAGCCAAAAGAAAACTGGGAAAAAAGGCATCCAAACAAAGACACTGATGGAGAAGGTGACTACCGTGGAGCAAAGAGTGTGTGACAGAGCAGGCAGGATAAAGTCAATAGTATGAATAGAACAAATTATTAAGAACAGATGGTATTTACCCAAGAGGTGTGAATTTATGAAGTTGCCAAACAGCTTGTCGAGTGCTGTCACCCACCCCTGGGTAGCAGGAGACGGGAAGGTAGAAATCATGGCTGGTTGCTAGAGGATGCTGTGGGTGTTACACATACCAATGCGATGCGTTCTTGGGTTCAATTTTGGATTTAACCTCTGGCTGAGGAAACCTTTCTGCCCAGGGAAATACCATCCAAAACTGCCTGCCTGAGCAGCCTCTGCAGCAGCTGGCCTGGGGCTGGGGCTGGGGCTGTCCCTGCCCAGACCTCACCTTGCACTGGAGAAGCACTGGGTGGGGTGTTTGCTCCTGCAGACACCCTGGCTGCGTCATGAAGTTGTTGGAAAATAAGATGTAATGTCCAATGAGGCTCCTGGAATATATTTTTTTATCTCCCATGGCTGTGGGGCACGTTGCGCTTGTCCGTGATGCAGTTGTTATGGAGCAAAGAAACTAGCAGAAACATGACTGTTCATTTATGGCCAACAGAGTTTTACAGGGCTGGGTGACTATTTTACAGTTCAAAGCTGTGCACAAGGGAATTCCTTGCACGTGAGGACCCGCAGGCTGCCATGAGGCTTTATCGGTCACTCTTCATGTTCATAACAAACTGCAGCCTCCTTCATGGCAGAGCACAGGGACACCGCTGCATTTAATTTGAAGTGCAGGTGTGGGTGCAAAGGAAAAATCCCCCAAATCCCAGTGTTACGGAGGCCAGGGGGTAACACTCAGGGTCAGGGCTGTCATGGCTCTCTACGATGCGAGGACCCGCTCTCTCCAGGGAGGTATCGCTCAAAGCTCGCTGTGTTTCGGTGCTCCTTCCCCAACCAGGATATGCAGGCTGTGGGGCAGGGGAAGGGCACGGACAGGCATGGGTAAGCCCCGAGAGGTGCGGAGGTGGGATGCGGGAGGGCTGGGCAGGAGCGTGATCTCTCCAGAGGAGAGCGCAGCCCGGTGATACCTGCCTGGACGGGTAAATCCCGTGCCCCGACTGCCTCCTGTTTGCGCTGCAGCACCGGTGATGCTGCCGGCGAAGTCACTGGGTCAAAACCAGGTTAGCGCCGCCCTCGCCGCCTGCCCCAGAGCTGCGATAGGGCTTATCAGACCGCGAGCACGAGCCCTCGGTGTGGGGCTGCGGTCGTCCCCAGGGAGCAGGGCTCCTTGGCGCTTATCACCTCTGTAACTGTGGGGAGGAAAGGAGCCAGGGAAACCCCGTCCAGGGCCAAACCCTGCGTGCCGGCTGCTGGCCAGAGGGCTGGGGCACCCTGGTGCTGGGTTCCCCATCCCCAGGTGCGTGACGGCAGCCCGGTGGTGGTGCAGACCTCGCTGCCAGAGCAGTGCCGGGGCTCAGCCGCCATCCCCAGTGCTCCGGTGCTGGCCGGGCTCTGGCCCTGCTGCAGCCGGTCCAGCTCACATCGGCCGGCACCGCGCATGCGGATTGCTAAGGAAGTCCCAGGTCATCCCCGTGGAGGAGCAGACGTCCTGCTGGCCATGAAGGCGACGGCCTCTCCAGGGATACTGAAATACAGACGAGCTATTTCAGCAACTTTAA